GCAGAAAATAGAACAGTACCACAATATTGTACTACATTACTTGAGTAAATGTACTTAGTTACTTTACACCACTGCCGACAGGAGCTTGAATTTAAAAAAATGGGACATTGGATAGCCTCTGTCATTGTCCATTCAAATTAAAAACTACATTTAGGAAAATAACCAGCCCTAAAAATGATGTGTAAAAATAACTCACTGTATGAAGGTGGTCTTTCTTCTCTGTCTTCATGGAGTCACAGTGATGAATGTCCGGGCTGTAAATGTTTCCAGGTGCTCCTGTTTCTGCGGTGACATTTTTTTTAACCTTCCCCTCCCTGTTTGATGCTAACTAGCTCGCTGCTAGCTAAACTAAATTTACACAAACACGTCGTAGATACCGTAACTTAAGTTAAAGATAACTTTTATCTCTCGGATGTTTGATTTTAATTCATTTATCACAGGGGGGACCAACTTCATCATTTTTATGAATTTCACCTGGCCTCACGCCACACTTCCAGTGACGTAGTTACACATTTCTTCTTCTACGTCTTCTATTAATGGCGACATGCAGCCAGGAGGAGCGTTATCGCCGCCGGTGGTAGTCCTTTAACAGCACAGTGCCTTTGTTATCAACAGGGGAAGTAGACAAGAGGGAAGGTCATTAAGTCTTTGTAGTTTCTTTGGTTTTTAACAGGTTTTAAGTTATCAGAGAAGCAGTCGTTGGAAATGAAAATAATGGATCTCAGGTTCCCTCTAATAATGCTCAAACAAGTATGTATGAAAATAAATTAATGCAAGTAAAAGATAGAAAAGATCTAAGACATAAAATAACACAGAAATTTAAATATAGGCATGAAATATAACATATATTAAAACATGTATATGCATAATGAGATGTAATAAATATATAGCCTACATACAAAGATGTAAACATCTCTTAAATTCATCTTATTCATTGCAAGTGAGAACAAGAGCTACTGAGAAATCAGCACAAATAAACAACTTAGTATTAATTGCAAAAAAGAATAAAGTATGTGCAAATTTGTTGTTTTTTAAATTGTTGTTTCCTTTACTGTTATGGTCTCGACTCCACTCTACTATTTCCCTTATGTTCAATTTTCTTTTTAATGTGCAAAAAAAAAAAACAAAACTGAGGCTAAGTTAAAATATATTAGGGTATATTCTCTTGAATCCCTGCATCCTCATACAAAGACATCACATTTTGGGTTTACTGGACCTTATACTTAATTCTGCTTAACTTAGATCTGTTGTCCTCGTTCATGGACACTTTTTCGTGCTATTTAGTGGTAGTAAGACCTCAATACATTAATCCATGTAAAAAGAAGATGGCAGCCATCTCTGCCAAGTCAGTCTGCAGCCGATCCCCACACAAAAGTGGACAAGGTCGAGAACAGGATCATATTTAATGGCTGACACTTTTTAGTTTGATACAACAGATTTCACCAATTTTAGCTACAGTAATAAACTAACACGCTGTTAATTAGAAAGTACTCCTTTGAAGACTTTAGGAATTTATCATCAGCTCGTTGAAGGACAATGGGACTTTATTATCGTCTCGTTTGAGTACATCTGAACTTTATCATCTAATAATTATATAATAAAGTCACTATATGTAGTGACTTTATTATCATTGACAGTGTTTAGTTTTTTTATACCAATCAGGTCCCACTGATCCCAAAAAGCTAGGAGAAATTAAAAATGCCAACCAACGAAAGGTCTGGGTCAGGAGGATATAGCAGGTAAAGTCACAATCAAACAAGATGGTGACGGCCGAAATGCTGAACTCCAGGCTTCAAAATGGCAGTCCACAAACCAAAAGGTGACGTCACTGTGGCTATGTCCATTAAACGGTCTATGGTCTTGTTGGAATACAGACATCTGCCAAATGGGGGTGGGTCAAGGTAAGAGGGGTTAGCCAAAATCTTTTCTGCCCACTTCAGGATCCTGGAGGTGTACAGGTCCTGGAGGGACTGCAGTTTACCCTTGTCCTCAGCAGTGGCAGCAGCCTACCAGACGGTGTTGGAGGAGGTGATGATGGACTCAATGATGACAATGTAGAAGTGCAAAATCATTGCATTTGGGAGATTCAATTTCTTCAGCTGCTGCAGTTGTGCCTCTGTTGTGTTTATTAAACCATACAGATAAGTGAGGACATGCTTCAAACCAAATCATTTGCAAAGATCATTTTAATATCATTGTATTTAATCCCTTTGTGTTCGTTCATTTAATAACTGTCTTTTCTTCAGTGTGGAGAGGAATTCAGCGTAGTATGTCCAGGTCTAATCCTACTAATCAGACTTCCTCTTCTTTCCCACTTTCCTCCAGTGACCTTCCCACTCCTACTCCTTACTGGATCTGATTCAAAAGCCTTCCTGTGGTGCATTCTTTGAATTAGCATCAGAGGGAATGTAAACAGCAGCAACAGCATAACCATCCCATCACCTATGACACTGCCTCATAACTTAGTTCCAGATAAACCATTTGGTTTCTTTCTTACTGGTATTGTGAACTCTATCTAACAACAATGGGAAAGCTTTAGTGGGTATGTAATGGAAGGAGCAACTTAACCTTGACAGGAATCTGGTGGTCTGGTACAGTACATCTGTAGTTGTTGCCAAGTATTCCATTGCTTACCACATCACTGCATCCAAATAGCTGCATTTGTTATGTCAGTGTGTGTTTGGTTACTTGCCTGTGTATTTGAGTGCCTCTGCAAAGAGGCCAAAGGCTGAGTGGATTAGAATTTTGTGGTCAGATGTCACTGTCACCTCGTTCGTTGAATTCTATTGAATACAATATCTCAAGAACGCCTTTAAGGAATTTCTTCAAATTTAGCACAAATATCACCCTTGAGTCAAGGATGAACTGCTTAGAATTTGGTGGTCAAAAGTCAAGGCCAGTTTGACCTCATCTGTCACATTCTTGTGAACACAGTATTTCAAGAACACCTTGAGGGAATTTCTTCAGATTTGGCACAAACATCTAGTTGGACTCGAAGATCAACTGATTAAAATTTGGTGGTCAAAGGTCAAAGGTCAAGGTCACTGTGACCTCACAAAACAAGTTTTTGACGATAACTCCAGAACTCATCTGCTAATTATGACAAAATCTTACACAAATGTCTAATATAATCATGAAAATACGACATTTTCTATCACATATCATTTTTATTTTTATATTTATATCATCCACAAGTTCAAAGAACTTAACTGTGACACCATAATGTAATGCAAAAACAGTTTTCTGGCCATATGTCATATCTCAGGAGCGGAAGAGGAGACATTAGGTCAGATACTGAATCAGTGACACTAACCTTGTGTGTCCACCTTGAAACTGTGCTGATTATATAGATCTTCTGTGCTGCCCGGGGGGGATGTGTGTGAAGCATCCATGTTTTCACAGGCATGGATGTAAACTTTGAGTACCTGTTAGACAATTGTGGGTAATTTTGTCATAACTAGCATAAGATTTCCTGAGTTATGGCTAAAAACATGTTTTGTGAGGTCACGAGTACAAGTTGAGGAATTTGAGAAAATTCCCCCAAGGCCTTCCTGAAATATCACAGTCACGAAACGACACAGATGCAAAGTCACAGTGACCTTGACTTTGCCTTGAAAAAACATGGATGCTTCACACACATCTTCTCCCCGGCAGCACAGAGGATCTATACAATCAACACAGTCTCAATGTGGACACCCAAGATTAGTGTCACCAATTCAGGATCTGATCAAATGTCTCTCCTTCTGTTCCTCAGTTATGACTTTGAATAATGGAAAGACAAGTGTTTTTGCAGAGAACATTAAAATGTCACAGTGATATTGACCTTTGACCTTGTGAATATAAAAAGTCATCAATTTATTGTTTAATAATTCCCTCAGGACGTTCTTGAAACATTGCGTTCATGAAAATGGGACTGATGAGGTCACAGTGACTAAATCTTTGACCATGAAATACTATCCAATTCAATTCCCTCTAGCTGTTCTTGAGATATTGTGTTCACAAGAATGAGGCAAATGCAAGGTCATGGTGACCTTGACCATTCACCACCAAAATCTCATAGGTTCCTCCCTAAATAAAAGTGCATGGTTGTGCCAAATTTGTAAAAATTCCCCCAAGGTGTTCTTGAGATATCACGTTCGCAAAATGATATGGACGCAAGGTCACAGTGACCTTGACCGTTGACCACCACATTCTAATCAGTTCATCCTTGACTCAATGTGGATGTTTATACCAAATATGAAGAAATTCACTCAAGTTGTTTTTTTTTTGTTTTGTTTTTTTAAGATATTTTTTAGGGCATTTTCAGCCTTTAATGGATAGGACCGACAAGTGTGAAGGGGGGAGAGAGAAAGAGGGAGTGACATGCAGCAAAGGGCCACAAGCTGGAGTCGAACCCGGGCCGCAAGGCAACAACCTTGTACATGGGGCGCCTGCTCTACCACTAAGCCACCGACGCCCCCACTCAAGTTGTTTTTTGAGATATTGTGGTCATGGTGACCTTAACCTATGACCATCAAAATCTAATAGATTCATCCTTGAGTAAAAGTGCATATTTGTGCAAAAATTGTGAAAAATCCCCTCAAGGCGTTCTTGAGATATCCCATTCATGAGAATGTGATGGATGCAGTCACAGTGACCTTTGACCGCCAAATTCTATCCTTGAGTCTGTTTCCTCAAAGCGTTCTTGAGATATCACATTCACAAGAACGATCCCAGATATGGTCAAGGTGACCTTGACCTTTGACTGCCAAAATCCATGCAGTTCATCTTCATTCTTGAATAACAAAAACAACTTTAACACTTACTCTATCAAAACATTTTTCTGGTGATGGACTAATCCCCAAATTGTTTCTCAGTGACGTACCACTTGTGGCTTTGTGAGTGAGGAGTCTAAGAAGGTAAATCAAATGGCAATGAAACTAAACTTTCTCAGCATCAGACTTATGCAAGTCAGGTTGTGAAAAATGTTTTAGTTAACAGAAGAAGAAAAAAAATACAGATTCTTTTCATTTCATTTTATTGAACAAAAAGTTTTTTTCAAAGATCATGTAGGAAATACAATATTATACAAGTGTTGCACACAGAACAAGACTAACAGAAAGAAGATCTAGAAGTGGGGGAGGGGGATCTTCCAGAACACAAAATTCACCAGAACAAAGCTGTGGAACTCTGTAAAGCCGACCACTAAACACTGATGTGGTCTCAGTTTGAATTGGGGAACAGACTGCTAAATTGAGATTAATGCAAGGACTTCAAACCTGAAAGCTCAGTTTTTCACTTAAAATCTGATAAGTTCTTTCTACTAAGCTGCCCGTAACAGCGTCCACAGCATTTAAACATGAAACTGGTGTTTGAAAATCCAATTTAATCTTTTAAGTCTTTATCTTTTTTTAAAAAACAAAAATCCTTTACTGACCTGATGGTGGTTTAGTTCTGTTTTGTCTGGACTTTAAGATCTGGTGGTTTAAACAGTCAATATTTCTGAAAAAGAATAAAAATGTAGTTTGACAAAGGTCGCTTATTGGCTTTTTCCAGAGCTTTTAGTCATATTTACTCCAGAAAAGGCTAGTAAGGGGACTACGAGTTAAGAGTTTGTGTTAAAGTACTGTTTCCAAAGTCAAAAATAAACATTTGTCTCTTGGAATGTGGTTTTGTCCAAACATCGCGAACAGAAGTTTTAGGGGAATTCACAGGAGTTTCTCACAGACAATAACATGAAAATGGACTCAGGTGGCTCCTCACAATAGAAACCCTTTGGAAAGCACACAAGGCGGTTTGGCATGCTCATCCAAACCTGCAGGGGGCAGCAGCGCTATCAGTCCCTCAGAGAATAACCCGGGAAGTCAGTGCTCCTAAATGCTCCAATCTGAACTACAAAACACAGAAATATGATGACATTCTTGTGCCATTTCATTCAGCACCAACGTCGCAAAGTTAGCACCTGTGGCAGAAAACCAGCGTGGGTTTAAAGAAACTTAAACCAAATTTTTGAGATTATTCCACTTTTTTTTTCATAATATAGGAAATAAGAATGTCAATGACTTTCTCATTTAGGAAACAATGACACTGAAGCACTGTGACACACTCAAAGTGCCTTTCTTTTAGTTTTAAGGTGAGCCACAACTGTTAAATCACTGCGGAGGAAGTCAAGATACTATAAAGTTGAGTTTGTTGGGCAGTTCTCTCCATCAACTCAGCAGAGCACAGGTGAGTTCTGATGGGGGATTTAACTTTCTGATGCTGGAGTTTCAAATGTAACTGGCCAGGAAACAAACAGTCCTGCAGCCCACAAACATCTTCAAATCAGCGAAACAAATGTCCTACCATCAAGACTCCAACTGACAGTTGCCAATTAAGTACAGAAATGTACTGGACAAAAGTAAACCTTGAGCAGCACTAGACCAACAGCTGATGGTCGTTTTTGTATCTGGTGTAAAACCTGTTTAACTTATGGAGGTGGACCAGGGCCACGTCAAGGAATGGAACAATTCTAAGCAAAAAAAAGCCAAGATTCTGTAAAAAAACAAACAAAAAAAACAAAAACAATAAATAAATTGTAAAAAAAAAAAAAAAAAAAAAAGCCTTCTGAAGTCAAGTTTAATAATGAGAAAACAAAAGAAAACCTGAAAATTGAAGTCAGAGTTCTTTTATCTCAGAATTCTCAATGATTTCCCAAAATTACTATTTAAAGATTAATCTGAGAAGTCAAAAAACAAGGCCCAAGTCCTCTTCCATACTTGCTACTTTCCACAGTTTGTTTAATTGATTCATGTTGTGTTATTTTAAGACATCAAATCTTCCCAATGGTCAAAACTACTTTGAGTCTTTTGTCTCCATGTGTGTGGATAAACTAAACCAAAGGAACACTTTGTGAAGGACTGTAGTTCAAACAGTTCATCCAGGTATCAATCTATCTCTGTATGAGCTGCGGGTTTGATTCCCTGCAGTACTCGCTCCTAGAGCCTTCCTGATTTCCAGTGGAAACACCACAAAAATACAAAAAAAGGAAGACAAACTAAACACTTTTCTCTTTTTCCCTCCTTTAGTTAATTTGTTTTGCTGGGACCAACCAACCACCACGTCTGCTCGTCTGAGGACTCTGGACACCCGCCCTGCTGCTCATCCACCAGTTCATCTGTGCGTCAAGTGGGATCATCCTGTCCCGTGACTAGTTTTATTTTGTTCTTCTTTCCAGTGGAAAATAGGGCGCCGTGGAGTGACAGCACAGTTTCAAGCGCTACAAGTAAAAAATATTTTTTAACAAAATTGCGCCATACTTCAAATGAATCATACTCTTCAAACAACTGTGAGCACCCAGTGCCTCGTTGAAGGGCAGGAAATTCTCTTTTGACCTAACAGTCACAGTGAATGGTGCCTCCCAAAATTCATCAGCAAGCAGGCAGTCAACTCAAAACCAGAATGATGGTTGGCTGTAGTAAACTAGATTGTGAAAATTCCCAGCCTGCTGGGAAAAGCTAAATGCCTTTCAGTACCCAGAACTTCAACAGACAAAACACTAACTTCTTCCAAAGGGTGTGTGTAGGTTTGGAGACACTGTCATTTTTTCTGGTATCTGAAGTCTCTCAGCACATCGTTGAGAGGTTGGATCTGAATCACTGGAGACAGGTTGACCTGTAGGATCTTCTGCGCTTTTCTGCGGGCCTCAGCCACAGAACGAGAGTCATCCACCTTTATCACTTTCCATCTAAGACTGTTTTTGTCCTTCCAGCCGTTTCGCTGGCGGGTCAAGTTGTTCAGTTCCTTGGGGCCCCGACCCTCCCGGTGGAGGCCGTTGCCCCTCCAGCCATTACTGGTCAGCTCTGTATGAGTCTCTGGGAACGCCCGTCCATTTGCGTAGAAGACCGGTGCAGAATCTCCGATGAGGGCGCCGTCCAGTCGAATAGGGCAGGACAGGCTCTTCTGGCTGAACAAGGCCACAGCTTTGGTGGACGCCCCACCACCGTTCTGAGAAGGCTGCAAAGGTATTCCTGAAAGCGTTGGAGGGTGCTGTTGCTGTGAAAAGGCAACAGAGGGTGCCTCTGATGACGGGTCCCAGGAAGTGTGGATCTGGAGTCTGGCCGTATGGAAGCCGGACAGGCCCGCAATGTTGGTCAGTCTGAGGCACGGCCGCACCTGCGACATCTCTACAGTCCGAATGGGTGTCCTGTTGCAGATGATGGCACGATGGTCCACCAGCAGCTCTGGAGGGCGGACCCCTTGAATCTTGGGGTTCTTGGAGGTGTTCCAGGATGGGTGCACTTCTCTCTTCTTGGCCGGGGGCTTCCTCCCCCTCCTCTTGGCGGTCGGTCTGACGTTTCTGTTGGGTGGCTTCAGCATATCTTGAGTCAAGGGTTGGTTTGTGCAGGAGCGGTAGCCATACACGTCCTTGCTGCGCAGCACGGTGGGCTTGTGGCCCTCCTCACCCAGCTCCTGCAGGAAGGTTACCAGCTCCTCGCTGCTCGAGAGGTCACGGGACATCGGACTGAGGATCTTTAGAGCATCCAGGAGGACAGTGTGCCCTGCTGACGAGATCCTGGACCAGGAGTGGACCGCCCTCTGCTCTTCATTGGCAAATGCCAATGGCCGGCCAACCACGGGACCTCGAGCCGCGTCAGCCATGTTACTAGTCCTGCCAGAAAAATACAGAAAGCATTCGGTTAAATAGAATCACAGAAAGGAACAGAAACGACCAACTACTTTTCTGATATTGTCAAAACACCTTGTAAGTCCCAATATTCTACTTTCCTATTCATTGTATAACAAAGTTGGTTAGGATGAGTTTGACTGTAGTATTTGGAAGTCGTCACTTAAGTTTTCTTAGAGTCAGACAACAGGAAAACGGTTATCTTAAAACAAAAACAAAAAGATTAAGTTGTACCCACATTGTTGAATTAAATCAATTATCAACTTATTTAAAACTTAAATTATGTCTCAACATCAGTAAGGACTTTTGAAATATATAGTTCACAGGAAAGAGATGGATGCAAGGTCACAGTGACCTTGAAATTTGACCATTAAAGTCAAATCAGTTCATCCTTGATTCAAAGTGGATGTTTGTGCCAAATTTGAGGAAATTCCCTCAAGGTATTCTTAAAAAATATTGCGTTCACGAGAGTGAGATGAAGGCAAGGTCACAGTGGCCTTGACCTATGACCACCAAACTCTTCTCAATTTATTGTTGAGTCCAAGTGGGTGTTTGTGCCCAATTTGAAGAAATTCCTTCAAGCCATTGTTGAGAAAACATCTTGACGAGGTTAGGACGTACATACATACGTACAACCCTAAAACATAAAGCTTGCAGCTATGGCAGACACCGAGGCATTTTAAAACAAGACTTAATTTATCTTGTTACTCCCATTCAGTGCCAGGCAGTAACTTGTTACTCAGTAAATGCTAGGGCTGCCCCCTAATAGTCGACCAAACGTTAGTCGACCAGACAGATCATTAGTCAGCAAGATTTAATTTGTTACTTAGTCACAAAAAAAAAAAGTTATAAATAAATAAACAACAATGTGAAACTCTATTAGGAGCTGCTCCTTGTCAAAATAAATCAAAACCTACACGATAGGACTATCTGAGAAATTAATTTGAAAGGACAGACACAGCAAGAGGCCATGCTCAGCAGTCAGACAGGAGTCACATTACAAACCAATCACAGCCGATGTCTTTCCCTTCTTCTGTAAATATTCAGTCTGATAAATAAGGAAAAGTTGATCATGTTAGTGCAGGGCTACCCAGAGCTTTACATCTGTCCCACGGATGATAGGTCTACACAGCTGTATACAGCGCCTGGAAGAAGATCAGCTCTGCTCTCAGGATAGTCTTGAAACCTGGTACAGAAAGGCACAAGAGTAGCGCTCAGAGCCCGACCTCGCGATTTACAGGCAGTTTAAGACACGGCATGTGTACAGTCCCTTATTTCCAGGGCTGGTACCTGTGGTTATTCCATAGGCTAGTTAATAACATGTCAGGCAGGAAATCCAAAGTGTGGGATCATTTTAAGATTTTTTTTTTTTTTTTTGGCTTTTTGCCTTTAATTGACAGGACAGTGTGAAATGGGGAGAGAGAGAGAGAGAGAGAGAGAGAGAGAGAGAGAGAGAGAGAATGACATGGGGGGGATGACATGCAGCAAAGGGTTGCAAGCCAGAATCGAACCTGCGACCGCTGCAGCGAAGCATCGCCTCTGTACATGGGGTGCCGGCACTATCCACTACGCTACCGACGCCCCAAGTGTGGGATCATTTTGAGAAGGTGAAGGACGGACCCAAGGTGATATGTAAACTCATCTTCATTGGTTGACTACAAACATGACGTATCATCTGAAACATGGAAGTAGCTACATGCCCATTAGCCACTTAGCACAATCATTACTGCTTTCCCGACAGCAACATTAACAGGCGGCTCGCTCAGTGTGTGACGTGCACTTGTAGATAAAATATAGGCCCATATTAATCAAGGTTTATTAGTACAGTATTTCTCTGTAATGTAGCACAGTATTAATAATGTTACTGATACTATTCTTTCTCAGACCTTAAACTCAAACCATTGTGTTGCCCCATACAAAATATACAATTCAATAATTGAGTTAATATGGTAAACATGTGGGTGAGTAGTCGACTAATGGCCCTAAAGGGGCAGCCCTACATTTAATACATTTCACGGGGAAAAAGCCGCAATATAGTCGATATATTGCCCATCCCTATATCAACATAATTTCTGCTGGTTCTGAGTGCTGTGACCTTCTGCCGTCTGATGTCCTCATCACTCGTTAAATGTGACCCAGAAACTGAAACGTGTTCTGCAGCTGAGTTTACTGCAACATGTTATTGATAAAAGTCACCTGAATATTAAATGTTAACATAAACTGCCGCAGCTGTGAACACACAGGCTGGGGATTTTTAATTGCTAGATTAATACCCCGGGGGAGACGGTAGTTTACTGTCAGCAGCACTGTAATCAGACACCTCACACAGCCAGACCAGCAGACAGTAACACTGCGCATATAAGGAAACAGTAAAGCTCCACATCTGCTGAAAGAACCACCCCAGCTGGCTCATTACCACTGCGACCTTCTCTCGGTTCAGCACCAGTTCTACACCTTTATACCCTTCATCTAAACGAGCCTCATTAGTTACCATGGCAACCAGGACCATTGGGGCAGGATACACAACGCCCTGGGATCCTATTCCAACAGAAACTAGAATTACCATCCCGTGGTTGTATGTCTCTGTGCACACCAGTCAAGTTTCTCTTACAGTTAACATCCATGTCTGAAAACATTGATGCTTCACATACATCTTTCCCCGACAGCACAGAAGATCTGTACAATCAGCGCAGTTTCAAGGTGGACACCCAAGATTAGTGTCACCAATTCAGTATCTGTGTCCTCTTATGTTTCTAAGATATGACACTGAGTAATGGCCCGAAAAGTGTTTTATGCAGAACATTATGATGTCACAGTGAAGGTGACCTTTGACCTTTTGGATATAAAATGTCATTACGTCATTATCTTATCCGATCAGACATTTGTGTGATGTTTTGTCATAATTAGCGTATGAAATCTTGAGTTATGGCCAAAAACATATTTTGTGAGGTCACGCTGACCTTGACCTTCAACAACAACATTCTAATCAGTTTATTTTTCAGTACAAGTGGATGTTTGTGTCAAATTTAAAGAAATTCAATCAATGTGCTCTTGAGATATGACATTTACAAGAATGAGACAGATGGAAGGTCACAGTAACCTTAAACCACCTAAATCCAACCACTTCATTGTTGAGTCCAAGTGAACATTTGTGCCAAATTTGAAGAAATTACTTCAAGGTGTTCTTAAAATATTGCATTCACGAGAATGAGATAGATGAAAGTCACAGTGATCTTGACCTTTGACCATCAAAATCTAATCAGTTCATCACTGAGTCCAAGTGAACATTTGTGCCAAATTTGAAGAAATTCCCTTAAGGCATTTTTGACATATCACATTCATGAGAAGGAGGCAGACAAAGTCAAGGTGACCCTGGCCTTTGACCAGAAAAATTCATCAGTTGATCACTCGTCCAAGTGAACATATGTGCCAAATTTGAGGAAATCATGTTCTCAAGAATGGGACGGACACACAGACAACCCTAAACCATTATGCCTCCAGCCACAGCTATCACTGGCACAGAGAAGCAAAACTTGACAAGGTACTTTAACAAGTCTAAAAGAGGGCAAACTGCCAAATATTCGCAGCAACAAAAACCAAAGGAAGTAACAATTAAATCAGAAACAAAGCATGAAAGGAAATACTGCAATGATTAAATTAGGGATGAACAGAATATTCGGTAACCGAATATATTCGGCTGAATATTGCAAAAAAACACACATTCGGTATTCTGTGGAATAAGTTAAAAGCAAGGCCGAATAATAGCGGCGTGTTTTGATAACGCAATCAAACAGCGTGCCGTGACGGGCTGAGTAAAATGTCGGCAGTGTGGCGATCCGCCCGTCACGGCACTTGCATTTGCGACTAAAAATAGTTTTGAGCGAGCAAAATAGGCTTAAATCATTCAGCACGCTGTGCGAGCAACCTAGAGATTTCAACCACCAGCAGAAACGAAAGGCGAATCCCATCGGTTGTGGGTTGAACGGGGGTCACAGACACAGACAGTAATGTATTCCTGTCAAATACGGCGGCCATCGGCTTACCGGCGACGGGAAGTCGGCTCCAATAATATCCTTTTCTTGGCGTCATGACTGCCCAAAAGTACCTGAACAGCCGAGCCAGCCGAACACAGGTATGTGATGTGTCAGAGGAGAAACGAGCCGTTCACGGCCCACAAACCTCACCGCACTTTAGGGACTGTTCTTTACTTATGAAGGGGAGGAGGGTGGCTGGTTGATTCTTATTTTATTTATTTATTTTACTTTGATCATCATTGATTGATGCTGTTTTTGAAGTATGAATAAGTCAATAAGTAATTTATTCCACTGAAATATCATTGATGTATTATAGAAAAGTGATTTATCTTTTTATAAATGACAAAAGGCACATCTGGCTCATTTTCGCTGTGGTATCGTGATACTACTCAGAACCATGATATTTTCACTGGTATCATACAGTGGGATCCAATTTTGGTACCGTGACAACACTAATCTGGAGGGGGTTCATCTGCAACAATATTCGGTATTCGGTATTCGGCCAAACGTTTAGTATTATTCGGCTTCGGTCATAAATTTTCATTTCGGTGCATCCCTAGATTAAATTCATCTTTTGGTCACCAGATGATAAAAAGTTCTTCTGCTCTCCCTCCTCTTCTTCCATTTCTCACTATTTTATAGACCAAACTAAGGCTGGATAATGTGGAGAAAATAAAAAATCACAATAATCTTAGTGCTTTCACAAAATATTTACACAATGATTTTTTTTATTAATAATTATAGTAATGTGGGTATAATGACTTAGTTGATAAAGGCTTAGGGCTGCTGTGAGACAGCGCCTACTTAGGGCAACAAAAATGTTTATCTCGGGTGTGTCTGTACAATGTACAACCAAGACTTCCGACCAATCTAAGAGCTTTTACACTACATGTCACATTCACCCACACAAACACACACAAACACCACACACTGGTGGCCGAAGCTACTGTA